TCATGTCCAGTGGATCTGGATATAGAAATAGAAATCAATGTTTTTAGCAAGTATTTGGGTGATTCTCATTCAGAGCTGTGGACAACCCTGGGAAACACACTGAACGTTTTTGAAGTACATTAGGTATGTCTTCAACTTTTGTACAATGAGTTAATAAAACTATGTACCACACTTTACTAGGAAAAAAAAAAACAAAAAACTATGCACCATTTCCTTTGTTACCTCCACCTAGGAAAGCGAGTTCAACAGTGTTTTTTGTTTTGGGAGGATTTTTTTTACAGTTTTTGGCCGGAGCTGGGTTTGAACCTACCTCCTCTGTTATATGGGGCCAGCGCCCTCCTCCTTTGAGCGACAGGCACTGCCCTCAATAGTGTTTTTAAAGACTCTGAAAGTATAGCATGGGAGAAACTCTCAGTAAAAGGAGGAGTTGGAGAAATATATTTGCAATAAAGCAAAAGCAGGCATACCCTTGGAGTGGGGAGAGATTTCCAAGACTGGGAAGAGGATAGTGGTTGTTTGATTCCTCCAGTAGCAGGGAGCCCACCAGCTTCCTCCAAGGACCTGGGCAGGTGATAGGACTTCAGAGGGGAAAGCCTATATGGTTCATGCAGACAGACTTGAGTCCCAGTGTGTAGACTATTAGCTTTCACAGGTCTCTCAGGCAGTGACCAATGTGGACTGAGTGTAGAGAGCCCTTCCTGATGGGGAGCAAAGGAACACCAATAAATGATGAGACAAATTTGTCACTGTTGGTGGTAAAATGGATGTGTATCAAATGAAAAGATTTTTAAATTATTTAACTTTTTCAGAAATTCAAACAGGTAATGTGCAAAAATGATACAATGAACTCCCATATACTTTTAGGTTTACCAATTGTTAATATTTTTCAATATTCGATTTCTTCCATGTATACTTATTTTTTTTTAAGACAGAGTCTTACTCTGTGACCCTCAGTAGAGTGACCCATGGCGTTATAGCTCACAGCAACCTCAAATTCGTGGGCTTAAGCAATCCTCTTGCCTCAGTCTCCTGAATAGCTGGGACTACAGGCTTGCGCCACCCAGCCCAGCTAGTTTTTCTATTTTTAATAGAGACAGGGTTTCGCTCTTACTTGGTCTGGTCTTAAACTCCTGAGCTCAAGAGATCCTCCCGCCTCGGCCTTCCAGAGTGCTAGGATAACAGGCTTAAGCCAGCCCGCCTGGCCCATGTATATTTTATTATATCACTATTCTTGTTAATAGTGCTGAACCATTGCAGACATCATGATCCTTAACCTCCAAATAATCCTGCATGTATCTTCTAAGAATAAGAACATATTGTTACAGTATAATTTTCAAATTCAGTTAGGTTAACATTCATACAAAATTATTATCTAACATGTTCTTCATCTTATTTTCTAACTATTTAAATAATATCCTTTGGAATTTTGGTGTGTCTGTGTGATCTGGGATCTAATTCAGGATCCCGTATTGCACTTATTTATGTCTCATAAGTCTCCTTTAATCAGGAACATTTTCTCAGCCTTTCTCTTTTTTCATGAGGATGACATTTTTAAAGAGCATAGCCTCAAATTGAATTGGATGCAAACAAATTATCAGGGCCTAAATGTATTGATTACAAATTCATATTCACGATTTATAGCACATGTTAGCCTAGCTTGGAATCTCTGTCCTTCCCACTCATAAATTCGATGACCTTAGGCAGATTTCTCAGCCTCCTTTTTTCCACATGGATACCCACTCATTCCAGCACCATTTAATACAAACACAATTCCCCCTTGAATTGTTTTCATGTCTTTGTTGAAAATTGTTTGACCATATAAGTGCAGGTCTCTTTCTGAACTTTCCGTTCTGTCCCAGTTATGTCTTTGTTTATTCTTATGCCAATTCCACACTGTCTTGATTGCTGTAACTTTGCAGTAAGGCTATAAACTATAAGTCAGGTAATATAAATCCTACAGTTTTGTTCTTTTATTTTTACTATTCTATATCCTTTGTGTTTCCTTTTTTTTTTTTTTTTTTTTTTT